TTGGAGCTGGGTTGGGGGCCACCCCCTAGATCTATGGGGCAGGAGGTGACTTAGGGGGCGCCCCATAGATCTATGGGGCAGGACCTGGAACCGCCATCCCAGGGGCCAGGAGCTGGGCTTGGGGGGTGCCCCCCGAGCTCTATGGGGCTGGGGTTTGGGGGGGGACGGACTTTACCCCCTTTCCTGCCCCACATCTCTGGGTCTGCCCCACATCTCTGGGTCTGCCCCACATCTCTGGGTCTGCCCCACACCAGGTGCTGCTCTACGGGCAGCTCTACCGCATCTCGCTGGAGCTGGAGCTCCCGGAGTCACCCCCCAACCGGGCCCTGGGGATGTTCATGGTCAACATCAGCTGCTACGGGCCCCACGGCCGCCCCATAGCGACCGCCGCCCGCGCCGTATGTGGGGCGCTATGGGGCAGGGAGAGGGGTGTGGGGCGCTATGGGGCAGGGAGGGGGGTGCGGGGCGAGGTTTGGGGTCCCCCCTGCCTTCCGTTTCCAACATCAGCCCCATAGCGACCGCCTCCCACGCCGTATGTGGGGCGCTATGGGGCAGGGAAGGGGATGTGGGGTGAGGTGTGGGGCCCTGCCCCACATCCTGCCCCACAAGTCCCTGCCCCACACCTTCTGCCCCACATTTCCAATATCATTCCCGCTGAGCACCCCATCTCCTCCTCCACCATCACCCTCTGTGGGGCAGGGGGACGCTGTGGGTCCCTGCCCCACACCCTGCCCCACACCCTGCCCCACATCTACCCCACATCCTGCCCCACACATCCCCATCTGACACTTCCTGCCCCACATTTCCAACATCATTTCCACCAATCACCCCCTTGTCTTCACCTTTCCCGCCATATGTGGGGCTCTGTGGGGCAGGGGGACGCTGTGGGTCCCTGCCCCACACCCTGCCCCACACCCTGCCCCACACCCTGCCCCACACCCTGCCCCACAGACGATGCTCCATTACCGCTCCCCGCTGCTCCGCACCCTCCACACCGTGGCCTTCGCCGGACTCTTCCTCGGGGGCTTCGCGGAGCAGACGCAGACGCTGGAGGTGGAGCTTTGCTCCCGCTACCGGGAGGACCCCGTGAGTTGGGGGGCAGGGTCTTGGGGGGGCAGGGGGGGTGTGTCCCCCCCTCACTGCCCCACACTTATGGGTCGCTGCCCCACAAGTACCTGCCGACGGCGGGGGCGGTGCTGCAGATCCAGAGCAAACGGGTTCAATTCTATGGGGCTCGGCTCCGCGTCCAGGCGCGATTCAGCGGCATCAGGTGAGGGGGGCTCTGCCCCACAGCGACCCACGGCTGCCCCACAGCGACCCACGGCTGCCCCATAGCGACCCAGAGCTGCCCCATAGCGACCCAGAGTCAACCCCAGGGATCAGCCCCGAGGATTAGCTCTGTTACCGGCCCCATAGATCAGCCCCATAGACGGTCTCCTGGCTCTGCCCCATAGCAGACCCACAGCTGCCCCATAGTGACCCAGAGCTGCCCCACAGCGACCCACGGCTGCCCCATAGTGACCCACGGCTGCCCCACAGCGACCCACGGCTGCCCCATAGTGACCCACGGCTGCCCCATAGCGACCCACAGCTGCCCCATAGCGGCCCCAGAGTCAACCCCAGGGATCAGCCCCGAGGATTTGCTCCGTTACCAGCCCCATAGATCAGCCCCATAGACGGTCTCCTGGCTCTGCCCCATAGCAGACCCACAGCTGCCCCATAGTGACCCAGAGCTGCCCCACAGCGACCCACGGCTGCCCCATAGTGACCCACGGCTGCCCCACAGCGACCCACGGCTGCCCCATAGTGACCCACGGCTGCCCCATAGCGACCCACAGCTGCCCCATAGCGGCCCCAGAGTCAACCCCAGGGATCAGCCCCGAGGATTTGCTCCGTTACCAGCCCCATAGATCAGCCCCATAGACGGTCTCCTGGCTCTGCCCCATAGCGACCCACAGCTGCCCCATAGCGACCCATAGCTGCCCCATAGCGGACCCAGAGCTGCCCCATAGCGACCCACAGCTGCCCCATAGCGACCCACGGCTGCCCCATAGCAGCCCCAGGGTCAACCCCAGGGATCAGCCCCGAGGATTCGCTCCGTTACCAGCCCCATAGATCAGCCCCATAGATCAGCCCCACAGACAGTCTGCTGGCTCTGCCCCATAGCGACCCACAGCTGCCCCATAGTGACCCACGGCTGCCCCATAGCGACCCACAGCTGCCCCATAGCGACCCATGGCTGCCCCATAGCGACCCACGGCTGCCCCATAGCAGCCCCAGGGTCAACCCCAGGGATCAGCCCCGAGGATTCGCTCCGTTACCAGCCCCATAGATCCTCCCCCAGCCCCACTTCCAGCCCCATAGATCAAGCAGAACTTGCCCCAATCCCCCCTCCTGCCCCATAGATTTGGAGGGCAGAGCCCTCAGCCCCATAGATCCACCCTCAGCCCCATAGATCTGCCCTCTCTCCCCTGCCCCACATCCTGCCCCACAGGTACCTCCTGCCCCACATCCCATCCCAGCCCCGTAGACCCATAGTCCTGCCCCACACCTGCCCCACAGGTACCCCACATCCTG